ATAAATGATTTGCTAACATTGTTTATGATTAACTATAACATCAACGCGTTGACCGCTATTATTATTACAATTTCTTTATCGGTTTGACCTATAAGCGTCGCAATTTCGATTATTACATCTCATTTCGCTGTTAGACATCGACTTGCATATATCATGACATCGGTTACACTGGATATTAGACTTTTATACGTAAATTTTAATTTATTGGGACTGCATGTAATTATATTCGTAACGATAACTGAATTTAATAATTTCAATAATTAGATCTCACTTGGCATAATACTTGTTCTAAACAATTATAGATCAACAGACATAACTAATTTATCAAGAATTGCGATGATTGTCAAGCGTGCAGCTGATTCCTCCGATATCGTCGGAGACCTCCGTTTATTCCATATGACTTCGTCTTTTCGGTGATTCGTTTTATTATTTATTAATTAGGGTCTTTTTGATTTTTGTATAACTCCGATAATTACGGTTTATTACATCATTGTATATTTTAAGTATTTTATGTGATTGTAGAATGCGTTAGAATTTACCGATTTATTTATTTATTTATTTATACAATTGAGAAAACTTCAAGTAAGAATCGAAAATTTCGTTACGTTTTATGTTAGAAAATTGAAAAATAAAGTTTTTATAACACCTTAAATTGCTCGTATTTGGCCGTTAATAATGAAAAAATTAATGAATGATAATACATATAACATTTTCATAATAGATGTTGAAAATAACATCTGTTTCAATGCAAACGGTAACTTTTATAATTATGTTAATCTCGACACAGCAAGTCATTCTTCCTTTAATTGACTGCATCTGCAGTTTCTCTCTATCGAATCAAATGGAGTATTTATAATATTACTTAAATATTTATGTTAATTATTGTTTGAAGTATTATGGCAATAAAAATATGTAACAATTATAACAATAAAAATGTATATATGCTGTTATAAATTATAAATATTAGGTTTTGTTTATATTTATAACTGTATTTATTAAAATTTTGAATAAATTTAAAAAATCTTCCTCTATTTTTATAAAATATGTGCATATTTAAAAACATAAATTAATGTAACAATTTATAATATAACAATAAAATATGTGTAACAGTACAAGTTTTTAATAATTAGGAAATAATCTAAAATTTGGAGACAATTTCAATAAATAAAAACAATAGTTTTTTAAACTGTTCTCATTTATTATATATTCTATAATATATAACATTTCCATACTACATGATATAGTTAAAAATCTTCCAATATGTAATTAGTAAGTACAAATAATTATTCAAAAGTCGAATAACTCATTATTATTAACAATAATAAGAATAATTTCATACAAATGTAGTAAAAGTTTATAAACTGCTTAAGTCGATAATTTAATTTCAGTTGCATATTGAAAAATCTTACACTATTAAAGTTCTATATTTTAATTACATATCTACATATTATTTCCAATACATAAACACAACAATTTTTTATGTATACAGAATTAAAATTTTAATCATTCAGAATTCATTATCATTCGTTGCTATCAATATCCGAAACTTTTATAAACTAACTAGTTCATTAAGTGGATAGTAAGATTCTGTGGTAAGTCTTCAAAATATCTTACATTCAGATATTTTAATGGATTCATCATTAAATATATTTCTGTTATTGGCAACGCACTGGTTAGCGACAAAGACTCCAATGAAGTAAATTTATTATTACTCAAATCCAAATATTTTAGAGATACAAGGGATTCTGCCCATCCTTCCGGCAGAGAACTTAACATATTCGTCGACAGATCTAATTCTTCTAAAATAGAAAAAGAAGCGAATGCATCAACATCGATCTCATCAATTTGATTCTTTCCCATTAACAATTTTGTCAATTTCGGCATTTGCAGAATTTGTTTAAGTTTGTTGTTACTTAAATCGAGCGTTTTTAAATACTGCAAATTTGAAAATGTGTTTGGATGTAAATAATTTATGTAGTTTGATGATAAATTTAAGAATATTAGTTCGTTATTATCTTGAAATGCATTTGGTTCGATATTATTAATCTGGTTTTCGGAAACCGAAAGATATTGTAGATCTTTCAAATCAACCACTGATAGACCACTTTTCCAAGCGACCCTATCTCTAATGGAATAAAAACGATTGTTATTCAAGTTTAATGCAAACAATTTGTTGCTTCTTTCGCTTAAATCCAAAGTTTCAATTGAATTGTTATAAAGATCAAGAAAGTATAAGCTGTTAGGTAGGAGATTTACAAAATTGGTTAATCTTATGTCGTTTCCGGAGAGATCCAGCATCTTTAATT